GGACAAACAATTAATGGTCAATATTACCGGGTCCTGCTTCAAAAAGAACTGCTTCCTGCTTTGACCAAACTCCGCTCGCGGCTCGCGAAGGGCAAATTCGTCCTTCACCAGGACAACGCACCACCTGTTACCGCGTACGTTGTGACGCAGTTTTTGATGGAAGCGAAGATCGAAACCTTGCCTTTCCCACCTGATCTATGATCTATTGTGATCTATTCACCTGATCTGGCTCCCAGCGACATCTGGCTGTTCAGCAGGCTGGAGGATTCGCTTCGGGGTACCCATTTCGCATCAAGAGCTGCAAAAGTTCGATTTATCAGTGGTTTAAACGTACCGTTGAAGATTCGCTCGTCCAGTGCTATGAAGACTGGATAAAACGGTGTCGACTGTGTCTCGAGAATTAGGAAGACAATGTTGAAAAGTAAAACGTGAGGCAACGCTGTCCCTCCTCCAGTGTATCATTCACACTTAAACGGTAAAGGCTTTTGGAACGCACCTCGTATAAGTAAAGTCGAAGACGAGAAAGTCGAAAATGCATTTTAGTTATTCTCTTACGATCTGACTTTCTTCATCACCGGGATCACTTTCGACAGCAGCGACTCCGGGGAGTATACTCTCCCATCTAAAGTAATAAAGAAAACACTACAATTGCTGGTCTGTATCTGGAATTAAGTCGGTTTCTGGAATGCAGGACAAACGGGGAGCAGTGCGAAGCCAAAAATAGCCCGACAGAAGCAGGATGTGATACGTATTATCCGGGGAGATGGCTGGCATTGTACGTGTACATGGGCCTAGTTGGAGTCCTCTTCGTGTCTTCCCTCTTACGAACCATTGCCTTCTTCTTCGCCTGCCTTCGTTCCTCCGTCCGTCTTCATCATCGCATGTTCAGGGCTGTCATCCGCACTTCCATCAAATTCTTCGATGATAACCCAATCGGTAAGTTTTCTCGGTTTCCGAGTTCATTCCTATCATCAGAATGGAATCGTGCTCGTAATGCTACAGGCTGTTCTAAAAGAGTGGCAAGAGCTTTCTGCTTAAAAAGAAAAGTATTATATTCCTTCCCGACGGCAGACAGCCGAAAGACACAAACATTGCAGAATTTTTTTAGAAGGTTGAAATGATTGCGATTCTCCATAGGGAGGACGCAGAATAGGTTCTCACGAGACGTTTGGGTTTTGGACGAAGTCCTTCCTAATATTGGCCTCGACGTTTTCCAGGTAGGCCTCTAATCTCGAGGGGGGGGGGGGAATAAATTCAGAAGCACTGCCTTGGGGAAAAGTTGCATGAAAATCGGATATGCATGCCAGTGATATGTGCATGATTCCTAGTCTGGTTCTTTTTCCACGTCCCTGTGTAGAAAAGTATGCATGCGATTTGTAGCACGTCTGATGTTACTTTCCAGGTAGGGTCCTGAATAGATTTTCCAAAGATTGTGGAACACTGGACGAACTTTTGCCCTTGATCGCAAACGATGTCACAGGGGTGAGTTGCATCCAGTGTCATACGTGCGTGTATGAATGCATGCTCGCATGCAAGTCAATCTGTTCCTGCACGTGGCACCTGCACTGCTGATTCTTTCTATTGATGCGAGAGGAATGATATGGCTGACGTGCCTATTTTTCGACAGATATTCCTGAATGTGATTGGAGTGGTGGTCTTGATTGGAACCGTGAATCCCTGGATCCTTCTCCCAGCCGTATTGGCTT